GTTCTCTGCACGTCATTGTCGCGCCCCCCCCCCCGCACCATCATCAGACCGAGCCCCTCCAATGGCATCAATTTCATCAAAGAAAATAAGACAGGCTGTTTTTGTTCTGGCCATTTAAAAAAGCTTACGAACCATTCGAGCTCCCTCACCGACGTATTTCTGTACGAGCTCAGACCCAATAACTTCAATGAAGCAAGTGTCAGTCCTATTAGCAACTGCCCTAGCACAGAGTGTCTTGCCTGTACCAGGGGAACCAAACAGAAGCACACTCTTCAGAGGCTCAATCCCAAGGTTAACACATCTCTCTGGATGGAGTAGAGGGGTTTCAACTACTCTCAATTTCTCAATTTGTTCCTTATAGCCACCAAGGTCACTGTATGTAACGTCAGGTTTTTCTTCCACCTGCAATAATGGTAACTGTAGGGTCAGTCTTAGAAGGTGGTGGAATGTGAATTTGATATTCATTTCTGTCCACACCAATGCTCATCCCTTCTTCAATGTCAGTAGGTGCCTCCTGACGCTGAGATCCACTACAAACGTGGCAAACTGCTCCACGTTGATAATGTATTTGGGGTCCTCTGAATCAGCGTTGATTATCTTTGTACACCTTGCAACCTGTAGGGGCTGTTCACTCTGAAGTGTCTGTGTATCTACAGCCAGATCCCAGAGGGCTGGTGGGACCAGGCCAGCGTCCAAAAATTTAAGGTAACACCTAAAGGACTCTACATCCTACCATAGAGATACTCGTTTACCCATGTCCATTGCTGATCTATTCACAGTAGCCTGGAAATGGAAACAACCCCTAGATGTCCATCCATTGATGAACCGATAATAGTAATATATTTTAAATTAAAAAATGAGCATGTAGAGATGTTCTGCTTGGATATATGTCTGTGCACCATGTGTGTGCCTGGTGCCCAGTAAGTCAGAAGAGAGGTCTGGGATCCTTTGGAACTGGAGTTACAGACTGTTGTAAACTATCATGTGGGTGTGGGAACTGAACCTGGGTTGTCTGGGAGAGCCAAAAAGTACTCTTAACTGCTGAGGCATCTCTCCGGCCTTTTTACTTTTCTCTTTTCACAACACTGATATAGGTGTAACTCACAAATAATGGCTCCCCCCCCCCATTTAAGACCGGCAACATTTATCTGGGGAAATTTACCTGTTGAATGGTTATAACACATTTTTTAGAAGAGGAGTGTTCAAAAGAGGACCCTAAGAGAGACATACAAGGATCTGTCTAGGAAGGGAAAAAAGATAAGATCTCCTGAGCAAATTGTGAGCATGGAGGTGGGTAGGGGAGAGGGTAAGAGGGGATAAGGGAGGATGGAAGGGGATGGGGAAAATGTATAGCTCAATAAAAAATGATAAAAAAAATAAAGTATAAAAGAAGAAGAGGACTTTTCAAGTTCGGTATCATGGCACACACCGGAGGTGGATCTTCGCAGTGCGAGGCCCGCCTGGTCTACTTAGTGAATTGAGGACAATCTGGGCTACACAGAGAAACCCTTTCTCAAAAAAACAAAACAAAACAAAAAACAAAAACAGAAACAAACAAACAAAAAAAACAAACCAAAAAAACCCCCAAAATAAATAAATAAATGAAGAGGGCAGTTCAAAAGAAATTTTATCCAGGATACAAATGATATATTTTGGTTCTTCTGATTAAAAATTTTAAGAGGAAGAAACCAGAAATATAATAAAAATTACATAAAATAGCCCAAAGTGGCTTTATTTCTAGCACTAAGGAGACAGCTGGGAAGATCTCTTGTGATGGGAGATGCGATTCTGTAAATATGTTTCTCATACTGGTTTAATGAATAAAGCACTGTTGGCCAATAGGAAAGTATGATAGGCGGGACTAGGAGACAAGGAGGAAAGAGGAAGGAGTAAGGAGGAGTCAGCATGGAGAGACTGGAGAAGGTACAACGGCCAGCCGCCTCTCGCTGGTAAGACCACGTGAACATACATAGAAATGGGTTAATAATTAAGACAGAGCTAGCCTATAAGAAACTAGTACCTGGCCAACAGCATCATATCAAGTACAGAGTCTCTGTGTGTTAATTGGGGCTGGCGCGGCGATGGGACAGACCAGCGGCGGGAGGAAAAACATACTCCTTACAGCCTTGAGTTCAAGGCCAGCTGATCTACAAAGTGAGTTCCAGGAAAAGCCAGGGCTACTACAAATATCCTGTCTCAAGAAACAAGGCAAAACAAAACATAGATAAAATAAACATCTTTAATTAATTAGTTAATTAAATTTTTATTAATTAAATGTAATCCTTTATTTTACATCCCTACCACAGTTTCTGGTCCCTCCTCTCCTCCCATTCTTTCCCCCTCCACCCCCGTCAATCTACTCCTCCCCTGTTTCTGTTCAGAAAGAAGCAGGCCTCCTGTGGGTTTCAAGAAAGCATGGCATACCAAGTTGAGGTAGGGCTAAGATCCTTCCCTCGTATTAAGGCTGGGCAAGGCAACCCAGTATGAGGAATGTTTCCGGGAGCCAGGCAAAGTATTAAGGACAGCTTCAGCTCCCACTACCAGGGGCTCCACAGGTAGACCAATACACAACTGGCACGCATATGTAGAGAGTTAGGTCAGTCCCCTGCAGGCTCCCTGGCTTTCAGTTCATACTCGGTGAGCTCCTATGAGATGGGCTAGTTGTTTCCCTGTGTTCACATGTGATGTCCTTCACCCCCCTGGCTTGTACAATCCTTATCCCCTCTCTTCTGCAGGATTCCCCGAGCTTGGTCCAGTGCTTGGCTGTGGGTCTCTGCAACTGTTTCCATCAGTGACTAGATGAAGACTCTCTGGTGACAATTGGGGTAGTCATCAATCTATGGGTATAACAAAATATTGTTAGGCAGGAGAAAACAGTTGACATTGTTTTCTCCACTTGTGTTTGATTCTGTCCTAGGTCTCTGGGCCACCCAGCCTCTGGGTACCTGGCACTCCAGGCAGGGTCAGGGATGGGCTCACTCTTGCGGTAAGGGTCTGAGGCTGGGCCAGTCATTGGTTGGCCACTCCTGCAATCTCTGCTGCCCCCTATCCCATAGGTTCCTGGAGGTCAAAGATTGTGTTGCTGGGCTGTGGTCCCTCCCTTAGAAGTCCCACCAGGTCTCAGGAGATGGCCAGTTCAGGCTGTGTAGCTGTGTCCACTATTGCTAGGAGTCTTAGTTGGCTTCATCCTTGTAGATTCCTGGGAGTTTCCCGTGTACCAGGTTTCTACCTGACCCTGAAATGCCCCTCCCCCTCCCCAGTCATCTCTTCAGTACTGTCTCCCTCCGTTTACCCCCAGCCCAGTCCCTCATGTTCTCATCTCACCTGGCCCCAGTCCATTCATAATATCTTTTCTATGTCCCCTTCTCTGGGAGATCCATGCATCTCCTTTGGGTCTTCCTTGTTTCCTAGCCTCTCTGGGTCTGTGGATTTTTATCCTTTACAGCTAATATCCACTTACAAGTGAGTACATACCATATTTATCATTTTGGGTCTGGGTTACCTCATTCAGAATGACATTTTCTGTTCCCTTCCAGTTGCCTTCAACTTTCCTGATGTCATTGTTTTTAACAGCTGCATAGCAGTCTATTGTGTAAATGTACCACATTTTCTTTATCCGTTCTTTAGTTGAGGGCCGTCTAGGATGTTTTCAGGTTCTGGCCATTATGAATAAAGCTGCTACAAACATAGTTTAGCAAGTGTCCTGCCTGGTCCTGCAGCCAGTTAGTCCCAAATAAACACATAGAAGCTTCTGTTAATTATAAACATTTGGCAAATGGCTCAGGTTTCTTATTGGCTAGCTCTCTCTTAATTATTAACCCATTTCTATTAAACTGTGTGATGCCATGAGGCTGTGGCTTAACTGCAATGTTCTGGCATGTTAATCCCTTCAGCAGTTACATGGCATTTCGCTGGCAACTGTATTCCTCTTCCCAGCATTCTCCTAGTCTGGTAGCCACTCCTATCCTTCCCGCCTGGCTATATCCTGCCTGTCCCTTGGCAGAAACGACATTTATTCATTAACCGATAAGAGAAACACATATTCACAGCATACAGAAGGACATCCCCCATCATGTGCTTATGATTGAGTATCCTTTGGGTATATCCCGGGTCTTGAGGTGGACTGATTCCCAATTTTCTAAGGAACTGCCATATTGATTTCCAAAGTGGCTGTACAAACATTAATTAATTTTACATCCTGACCACAGTTCCCCTTCTTCTTCTTCTCCCAGTCTCTTCTCCTATCCCTTGTGTTCCCCAACCACTCCACCTCCATTTCTGTTCAGAAAAGGGCAGGCCTCCCATAGATATCAACAAAACATGACATATCAAGTTGCAGTATTAAAGCTGGGTAAGGCAATCCAGGATGAGGAATAGGGTCCCAAAAGCCAGCAAAAGAGTCAGAGACAGCCTCTGCTCCCTCTGTTAGGAGTTCCACAGGAAGACCAAGCTACACAACTGTCCCATATATCCAGAGGGCCTTTGCCAGTCTCATGCAGGCTCCTTAATTGTCAATTCAGACTCTGTGAGCCCCTATGAGCCCAGGTTAATTGATTCTGTAAGTTTTCTTGTGATGTCCTCAACCTGTCTGGTTCCTACAATCCTTTTTCATGCTCTTCAGCCAGATTCCCTGAGCTCATTCCAGTCAAAATATGGAAAAAAAAAAAAAAGAGAGAATCTTTGTAGAGTGTTTTTGTATGTGTGTAGGACAATGTGTGCAAAATGTGTGTGGGTGTCATGGCACTCACACAGAGTTCAATGTGACCACTCTTTTTTTTTTTTTACAAGCTGCAAACTCTTATAATTTAAATGGACAATAAATATGAAAATTATTGAAACTGTATGGAAGTGCTTTTTATTGAGACAAAATACTAAAAATGTACAACTTGTGTGAATTTTCACTTGGACCATATCAAGGATTCAAGAGCCACACAGCTTCAAACTTAGCACACAAATCATTAGAGAGACTTGTTTGCTGATGAGGACATCTGGGCTTCATATCAGTCACCGGATGGTCTTTGCAAACAGGTAGCTCTTAGTGTTGATAAAGAAGAAAAAAACTGTGAAATCATTCTATTATTGCTCATCAGTAAAAATGGGCAGAGAGTGGGGTAGACTGATGACACAATCACAACAATTGCCCCCAGTGTTGGCCTTCTTTCATCTATATAAGATCCAGAAAGGGTGATGAAGTTGTTCAACCAATAGAAGAACACAAAACAGCTCACCAGCAACAAGATGCTGTGAGTGGCTCTGCGTTCAGGAGATGGCTGGCAGGAGAGGCTTATGCTGTGGAGATGCTGGGCTCTCTTGCGGTGTCTGTAGAGGAGAGTCACCATATACAGGCTGGTCCATATCATGATGGCCATAAAGAAGACGTCTCCTATTATGATAACACTCAGGAAAAAATCTTCATTGGGGTCATTCGGTATTCTTTTACAGTAAACATGAGAATATCTATACTCAACATCCGTGTAATTGAATTTTGATATCACAGTCTTAATGGTGTGCACATACATGAGCAGGTTGATGAACCAGGAAAACAGGAAGGAGCAGAAAGTCCACATCGGGAGCTTAGGCTTAAGCCACGCCCACTTAGAATAACTGGGAGTGATGGTGATGGCTTGAAATGTGCTCAGAATAGAGGTGGTGCAGATGGACATACCCCGGGTGACTCTGAACACAAATAAAACTGCCTTACAGCCAGCATCGTCCAGGAAATGTCTTACTCCGAAGGACGCCATGACATATGATATCGTAGAGAATATGATCGTCAATACATTGACTATCATAAGGTGAATGAAAATAAGGTTGATGGGTCTGCTAAAGTGAGCTTTGACTAAGAAGCTGTAGACATACAGCATGAGGAGCAATGAGTTTCCTATGACACCCAGGCAAAGCTCGGGTAGCAAGAAACCCACCAAGATGGTGTCGCTTGGAAACATTATCTCAGTGATGCTTTAGATATTATTAGGCTTGTCAGGCCTCCAGTGAAAACTCAGTGGACTGGATTATAAAACTACATACTGATGTTTGTGGGAAAATATACTGATTGACCCTCCAGGAGGAGGGAGGTCAGAGAAATGTCAAAGTCCTTTGTTTTTCAGGTCCAGATGTGGTAACCCCTGGGAACTACATTCCAGGGAGTCTTGAGAACCTCAGAGGACAGAAGTTGTTGAAGTACGTGGTCTCAATGCACACATCTTCTGAATGCTGTTATATTAAGTATCAGGATCTGTTAATAACCTGGATGGCAAATTTTCATGTTATAAATAGTTTTTATTCAGTAGATCATACTGTATATTTTAAAAGCCCTGTTTGAAAGTTCTGATCTTTCCCAAGAAGAGTGTGTAAAAGGCACAGTAACATGGATATTTACACATCTTTATAGTTCCAATTGCATGCAAAAATCTTCCAAGGTATTTACCTTTAAAATCCCAACTGTTTGTAACTCCAGTTCCAGAGAATCTGATACCTTCTGGACTCTGTGGGCACCAGACATGCATGAACCACATAAACACACATTCATGTAAAACCCCTGTACATATAAAATAAAAGAATAAAAAAAAACAATTTTCCACAAAAGCAGATTTCCCATTTGTGTTTTGCCAGTCTTTGGCCACTAGCAAATATCTGAAGCATTTTAAAGGGGCTCGGTCCCTGTGTAGAGCTGCTCAATGTGAGGGGACAATTTTACTACACATGCTCCAGTGTTGAGCACATTTTTCTGTCACTAATTTTATTATTTGCAGGAAATGAACAGAACTATAGATCATTGTGTTAGGCAAAATAAAACACTTCTCACAAAGATAAACACCATGTATGTCCTCACATGCGGAATCTGGTAAAGAAATTTACAAACTCAATAGGGAGACTCTTAGCTTGAGAACCTCAAAAGACAGAAGGCATTGAAGCAGAAATGGAGATTGGAGCCAGGCATGGTGGGGCATGCCTTTAATGCTAGCACTTGGGAGGCAGAGGCCGGAGATCTCTGTGAGTTCGAAGCCAGTCTGGTCTACAGAGTGAGTTCCAGGACAGGCTCCAAGGCTACACAGAGAAACCCTGTCTCAGGGGGAAAAAAAAAAAAGGAAAGAAAAGAAAGAAATGGAGGTTGGAGAGTGATACAGAAGGGAACAAAGGGAGAATATAAAGAAAGTCACGTTTGTGCATGTAATTAGATGCCATAATAAAATATACAAGCATTAGGAGCTAGCGGGCCCCTGACTGATAGCTGGGAATCCAGCATGGGACTGACTCAGCCCCCCCTGAATATGGTCTCAGCCAGAAGGACTGAGCAGTCTAAGGGACCTCAGACAGTGGAGCCAGGATGTATCCCTGGTGCACAAAAGGACCTTGCGAACACATCCCCCATGGAGGGATAACTGCCTTAATCTAGAGACAGGAGAGAAGCCCTAGTCCCTACTTCAAATGACCTAACAGATCTACATGACCCCACCTGGATGGCATTCCCCTACATATGGAATTGGGGTGGGGGATGGGAGGGGAGGGTGGTTAGGGTGCATGTGAGAGGGCAGAGAGGGTAAAAGGGAGGGAGGGAGGGGAAACTGGGTTTGACATGTAAAATAATAAATTAAATAAAAAAATTAAATAAAAAATATACAAGTATGGTGTTTGTCAAGACCTATCAATAAATTAACAACAATAACAACAACAAAAGCCAAGTGGACTAAACAGACTAAATGTATGATTTTATTTCTTTCCTTTCTTTTTTCTTTTTGGTTTTTCCAGATAGGATTTTGAAAGGGGTAAACTAATAAAGGGACCAGACCCTCACTCAGCCCCCTGCTTTAGCAGCCATGACAGACTACAGAAAAGACATACAGGCCTCTGACTCAGCACACGACACAAAGAAACTTCAGATCCCCAGCCTCCGGGAGCCTAGGGCCAAAACTGAACACAAAGAAATTCCAGACCCTCCCCTCCCCCAGCCTCCTAGATGCTTGGTTCCTGGAAACTGTTTTGCCACAAAAGAAACTCCAGCGGAGACCAAAACCTCCCCTGTAGTCTCCAGGTTACGGTTCTAAAAACTATTGGTATCTATGAACAACAGGCCACCTGCAGGTAACAAGACAAAGCCATAGAAGCCACAGAATGTTCCCTCTCAGCATTGACCAATGAAAATAATTGGTGCACAGGTATTTTATGCCAAAATAATGACTTTGAGAATTTCCCTTGATTGTTCCCCAAATATCAACCAATCAGAAGCCAACCCATACCTACTGATGGAATCCCGTGATTTTTGCCTTTAAAACCCTGACAGTACACAGGGAGCTCCCTTCCTCTGGTGGCTGCTGTGTTGGCCAGCTAGACGAGGTCCCTGTCATGGTTGGATGAACAATAACCCTTATGCATTTGCATCAGTGGGTCTGTCTCTCCCTGGTGGTCTTTGGGGATCTTCATGACTTGGGCACATTGGGCACAACAGGTTTCTCTGTGTAGCCCAGACTGTCCTTGAACTCACTCTGGAGACCAGGCTGGCCTGGAATTCGTAGAGATCTATCTGCCTCTGCCTCCTGAGTGCTGGGATTAAAGGTGAACACCACTGCTTGGCCATTTCCTTTATTTCATATGTCTGGATGTTTTGCTTGCATGTGTATCTGTGCACTGTGTGTGTAGTGCTTCAGAGGCCAAATCCCCTTGAACCTGAGTTACGGATGGATGGTTGTTAGCAGCCATGTTGTTGCAAACTGAACCCAAGTCAGTGCTCTTAACCACTGAGCTATCATCATCTTTCCAGCCCCTTTGTCATTCATGTGTGTGTGTGTGTGTGTGTGTGTGTGTGTGTGTGTGTGTGTGTGTGTGTTTGAGACAGGGTTTCCCTGTGTATCTTTGGAGCCTGTCCTGGAACTAGCTCTGTAGAGCAGGCTGGCCTCGAACTCACAGAGATCCACCTGCCTCTGCCTCCCGAGTGCTGGTATGAAAGGTGTGCACCACCAACACCCAACCCCTTGTCTTGTTTTAAACATTCAAATTGAATCCTTATTTTATTTTTTAAGTAATATGCATATATTTCATTTTGGGGATTATAAAATAATCACATCAATTCACCTTCCCTTTCCTCCCTCGAAACCCTCTATGTACCTCTCTTCCTCTCTTTCAAATTCATAACCTCTTTAATTGCTGTTATGTACATTCATATAATGTATGTATGTATGTAATTCTTAAGTACATAAATACAACCCGCTTGCCTTGTATAATGTTACTTGTTTTCAGGGATGACCATTTGGTATTAGACAACCAATACCAAATTTGGTTGCTTCCACCAGCATCATTCCTTGCATTCCCAAGTCTTTAAGTACAGAACATTTAAATTTGTGTAAAAATGCTGGGCAGTGGTGGCACATGCCTTTAATACCAGCACTCAGGAGGCAGAGGCAGGTGGATCTCTGTGAGTTCAAGGCCAGCCTGGTCTACAGAGCGAGTTCCAGGGCTACCTCCAAAGCAATACAGAGAAACCCTGTCTCAAAAAACCAAATAAAATAAAAATAAATTTGTGTACAGAAATATTATGACACTATATATATATATATATATATATATATATATATATATAAAACAAACTTAGAAAATTGCAAGAAAATAATGAATTATTGCAATGAGGTATTTGAGAAGTCTTACAGTATTCAACAAAACTAACCGACTTAAGAGCCTTTAAGAGATCTGAGTGAGGCCACTTAATTTATTTTTTGGTTTTAACAGGGTCCCCCTAAGTATCCCTGGCTATCTAGACTATGTAGATGAGACTGGCCTCATATTGGCCTGTTTTTTACCTCCCAATTCCACCGCACCCAGCCTTGATACCATTTATATCCTTAACATAGGTAAAATCTTAAAGCACTATCACCACAAATACAGATCTGTCTCTATCAGACACACAGGAAGTGGGTGATAAACGACAACACTGAGGGGCTCGAGAGATGGCTCAGAGGTTAAGCACACTGGCTGCTCTTCCAGAGGACTTGAGTTGAATTCTCTGCAACTACATGGTAGCTCACAACCATCTATAATGTACACATATTAAGTAAATAATTCTTTGAAAAGAAAGGTCTCTTGCAGTTCAAGTTCTATGCTTGAAAAAAACAAACAACAACAACAAAAACAAAACTGAAAGCCATAGCTCCTTTTGCAGAAGAGTTTCATTTTTTTGGTAGTAATTATGAATTCTACATCAATTACACAAGTATTTCTCAATATGCTGAAAACAAAAATCACATATTAGCAATCACGTAAAGAAAAACTCCACCATGAAAGTGAATTACAGAGTGCCTGTGTCAGGAATATGTATTGATAATGGATGAGAGGTTTGGAGATGCAATGACGTTGAAAGGGAAATTAAAAATGGACTCAAGTAGGGCATTGAAGGGAAAGATAAACGTGGTGTAATAGGAACCAACTGAGAATCAGATGTGAATTTAAAGTCAGTCCTGGGTAGAGATAGCATCAGGATTAAAATGTTGGGGCAGGCTGGGCAGTGGTAGTGCACACCTTTAATTCTAGCACTTGGGAGGCAGAGGATGCAGATCTCTGTGAGTTCAAGGCCAGTCAGGTCTACAGAGTTAGCTCCAGGATAGTCAGGACTGTACAAAAACAAACAAAATAGTTGGGGCTGAGCTAGGCATGGTGGGGTTCACCTTTAACCCAAGCACTCAGGAGGCAGAGTCAGGTGGATCTCTGAGTTTAAGGCCAACCTGGTCTACAGAGTGAGTTCCAGGGCAGCCAGGTTTGCACCCTGTCTCAAAAAACAAACAAACAAACAAACAAACAAACAAACAAACAAACATGATTCAAATAGTAACTGCAAAACTACAAATTTGTTACAATCACCTATGCAACCCTTTTTGGAAGTGAATGAAAGGACAAATTTCTGAGCTGTAGCTTCTCTTGCAGGATTTTAGAATTATTGAGAGAAATAAGTGCCGATGCTCCTCATGAAATAGAATCATTGTCTAGAACACATGCAAATAAATAAAAGGAAGAAAATAGGGAAACTATT